AGCTATCTTGCGCAATGTTGACGTAAGAACAAAAGAAAACGAAGAAATAGCGCCAAATCTCTATGACGTCATAAATAGGTGATGAAAAACGTTATAATCAAAGCATAACAACAGCAATTGCTTACCTCAGTAGAAAGAGCTTGATTAGCTCCGTGTGATAGTAGAAATCGTACAACATCTTCGTGATTTTCTTGTGCAGCCATATATAAGGGTGTAAAACCATTGAGCGATTGAACGTTAACATTTGCTCCATTTTCAACGAGTATTGTGACTATTAATGACTGACCAGCTAATGAGGCTATATGTAGAGCTGTGTTGCCTTTCTGAAATCCGTTATTTAGTCGAATTTATAAAGGAAAAAAACAAATTTTGAATTCTGAAGTATTCAGGTTGAAAGTACCCGCAACAGCAAAACAACAAATATGAGATTTCATACCAAACATGACGAATAATGTTAATTGAACTCCTATGCATAAGATTTTATAAGAGACAGTTCGTTAAAACCAAATCACCTTTTAAGAATTTAACAAGTTACCCTTGAATTCCACATTCTTTAAGCAAGTTGAGATTGAAAATTTATTTTCACAGATTTAACAGCGTACTAGGAAATAATTCCTTGCAATCATAGCGGTCAGGTTCAAAACGCTGATCACTTTACGACTCCAAACACATTCATAAGTGGGAAAGATGAAACCGGAAACCTTTCACATGGTAACAACTCATTTTTTCCGTTTTTTTCTAAAACAACTATTGCTCATAATGAAAATTTTGAACAACCAAAATTGCTCTTTCGCAAACTCCCAATTCTCCGTAGCAAGACTTTTAAAAATTGGTGGCCCACCGGTGTTAATATAGAGCTGAATCGTTGGAACTATGATTGCTTTACAATGCTCAGTTTGTGTATTTTGCTGATTAAATGAAGATTCCTACCTACCACTCTACTGTTCTATGCAATTTCATGAAAGATTCTTACCCCTTTTTCAAATATTGAAGTTCTTGGAGTTTTTTGTTACAGCCTACTACATGTCATTACCAC